CCCTGCCACTTTCTGCTCTTACAGCCTTGTTTAGAGCATTGTTTTTCGACAAGGAGTGCAGTTAAGAAGGCTGAAGGGCATGCTAGTAACTCCCAGCTCTGTGCTTAGCAGCAGGTTCTCAGGGTGGCAGGTTTTCGTCTATCCTCCCAAACTCCCCTGCACCTGTAGACACGCCGCACACCTCACGCACTAGTGATTTAAGCAGTAGCAGTGTATTAAAATCCATGCTTTTCTTACACTTTAACTCATTCAAAGTACAAAGATATTTTTATGATGACGGACGTCCGAGTCTCCAACTCTGAAGTGGTACCCAAAAGTTGGTGGTACTTCTACCGGAAGGACGACGGCTATCATCAGGCAGCCGGGAGGTCACGGAGCCCAAGATGCTCCCGAATCAAAGCAGACCTTCCGCTTTATAAAACCGCTGCCGGGCAAGACCACGGCTCCTTGCTGGGCAAGACCACGCGCAGCATCTTCACCCGGGAATCCTGCGTGCGCCGTGCGCTGCGCTGCGTGTGTGTGCGTCCTCACCTCTCCTCTTTCCGTAGCTGTGGGCGGTGCCACTTTGGGGCGGGGCTGAGGATGGCCCCGCCTTCTGCCCCGCCCTTTCCCGCTCGGGGCGGGTCCTTTCTGCTGCGCAAGGTCAGTAGCAAAGGCTCGGATTGTTTTCTCGGGCGGAAGTTGGTCCATGGAGTGGGCGTGCTTTTCCCGGCGTGCCCCGCGCCACTGTCATGGCCTCCTCCTGGTTGTGATATCCGCACATGGGCTTCTAGGGCTGAGTGTATTCACTGGAGCTGTCTTTACTAGAGTTGGTCCCTTTGGAACTTTCTCTTGCCGTTTTTTTTTGTGACCTTAGGGGGAGACCGTTTTGGCTGCAGCGATGTCCGGGGCGCTATGGCCCCCAGAACTGGCAGTTTTGAGGGGCTTTTCCACTGAGACAGAGCAGCAGCAATGGAAGCAGGAGGGAGTTCTTGGCTCAGGTGAGAAAGGCGCACCTGCCAGGAATTTATGCTAGCGTGGAGACAGGGAGGAGAAGGGGTGACGGCGATTGTGTTCTCATCCTTCCTTGTTTTATTTTTTCCTCTACCAAAATTAAGCCGATTACTTCAGACTTAGGGTTGTTGCATTCTCGACCTGGGCTGTTCCTCACGCTCCGCCCAGGTTTATTAATAATAATAGAAATATCAGCTACATGTCTAAGCTTTAACATTTCTTTAGTTATTTAATTTTTTAATTGACACGTAGAATAGATACTGCTTTTAATCTTGTTTGTAAATGAAGATGTTTACTTACAGATTGAGTCAGTAAATTTATTCAAAACCACACAGCTGGTAAGCAAAGAAGGTAAAACTGGGTAGCAAAGATGTAGTTTTGTGCGTCATGCATATTTGAGGTAAAGAGTTAAAAGACACTTAATAGTGGGTTATAGGCGCTTCTGGTTGTGGAATATGGGCTGGACCCAGAAGAGAAGTACCGATTTAGGAGGTTATTAAGTGCTATGCGTTTGTTAACACACACACAATACGTTTTTCTGGAGAGTAGTTTCTGAAGACATGGCTTGGAAGTTGAAAAAATGGGGCTAATGGAACAAATCAGAATGAGCTGTATTTTGATTGCAGGGTAAAACTGACAAGTGGAGAAGAGTTGAGTAGGAGAATAATTGTAAAAGTGTGGAGAAAAGAATATGCATGAGTGGAGGGGGGAGCTGCTCCCTGATGGTACAAGGCATTAAAACTTAGCACATGAACTATCAGCAGCCACTGCAGCCCTTATATCCCTGGCCAGGGTGGTGACCCACATGGCGCAGCAGACCTCTCCTGTCTCACCTGCTGCTCCTCTCAGCAGTGTATTTCAGTCAGTCTGTCTGTTTTGTTTTCCACTCTTGTCTCTGGTGAATCCTCTCACTCACCACACTTCTGACTTGTACCCCAGTTCTTGTATGTATAAATAAATCTTAAAAAAGAATGTCGTGGATGATTAGAGGAGCAATTATTGCACCAATTCTGACAGGGAGTTTTGTATGAGTTAGAGGAATCCTATTGTGAAAGATCTTAGAACTTTTTTTTAAAGTTTTATTTTATTTATTTGTGCATACAAGAACTAGGGTGTAGGCAAAAGGTGCAGGGTAGCTGTGACAGGATTCACCAGAGACAGAGTGAGGAAAAGAGCGAATTGATTGAACTACACTGCTGAGACTTAACCCCGTACACCACCAGGGAGTTCCTTAGAACTCTTAAGGAAACTTATCTCTGACAGGAATCTTTTTGAATTTCTATCAAAAGAGTGATGATACTAATGAGTACTATTATTCCTGGGTCTAAAGATTTATTTATGCAAATAGAATTGGGGTACAGGGCAGAGATAGGGTAAGAGGATTTACCAGAGACTGAGTGGGGAGCAGAACAGACAGATATACTGAAATCCTTTGCTGAGGGGAGTAGTGGGTGAAACAGGACAGGTCTGCTGCGCCCTGTGGGTCACCACCCTGGTTGGGGATCAAACTCATGCTCCAGTGGCTGTGGTAGCTTCATAGTGCTGTGCTTAAACCCATTGTGCCACCAGAGAGGGCCCTACTCCTGGGTCTAATTTCTACCTTGTACTTCTTTATGCAATTATGAGTTCATTTTAGTGGTGATGTTTCGTATGGTGATGGGAATTTGCTCTGTGCTTTGTGACTTATGTGTAGTAAGTATTTTAAATATCCTTTTTTTGCATACAAAAATAGTAAATTCACTTAATAGAGTTATTCTTTTCAATATGAAAAACTGTTCTTTTGGATATAGCACTAATTTTTTTTTTTGCATTGCAGAGAGTGAATCTTTCCTAGAGTTGCTGCTAGGAGGGGACTATGAAGCCATGTTCTTAAATCCATTGACTCAAAATATTTTTAATTCAACAATGATTAGTGAAGACATGATTGACAGTTATTTGGAGAAGCAGATAGTAACATTCCTGGACTACTCAACAGATTTGGACAAAATTGAAAGGTAGATTTTTATTGGAAATTTCCATAGAGAAATTGAATATATTACATAGGCTCTGATTATTACTATAGAGATCATAGAACTTAATGATTATTTTTATTATGGAGCCCCTGTTTTACTCTCATCCATTGAAGTTTATGTATTTTTTATACTAAATGTAATGGATAGTTACAGAGCAGTGGAACCTAAGTCTTTTAGTGGCTTATATTTTACTGTTGTAAATTTATTAATACACCTTTTTTCTCTGCTCTTTATGGTTATCCATCTCATGTTTTTTTTTTTTTTTAAAGATTTATTTATTTTTGCATACAGAACTGGGGTACAGGCCAGAGGCTCAGGGGTGGTGAGAGGCTTCACCAGAGACAGAGTGGGGAGCAGAACAGGCAGATGGACGAAGTACATTGCTGAGGGGAGCAGCGGGCGGGTCAGGAGAGGTCTGCCGCGCCATGTGGTCACCTCCCGGGCAGGCGGGGATCGAACTCACGCGGAAGCGGCTTTAGATTCTCAGTGCTGTGCTTTAACCCGCTGCGCCACCAGGGAGGGCCCCATCTCATGTTTTAATTATAATTCACATTCCTATAATTCTGTTGTAGTATATTCTTATTTATTTACTTATTGCATCATTCTTCATTTTGTGCATTTTTTCATCTCGGTTGTAATCCCCGTGGACTTCCCACCGCCAGTTCACCCGTGTTCCATCCCCATAGTCCCGTGTGCTCTTCCTGCCCATTTTCATCCCATTCCCCTCCTCATCCCCGTAAAATGTCCCTGGTTTATAGTTGTTCATTTTTTGTTTTTACTTTATTACAATTGCTTTTTTTCCCTGATCCGTTACTCTCTTGCTATAAGTGAAACCATCCGATAGTTTTCCTTTTTGTTCTGGCTTATTTCACTGAGCATTATCCCGTCCAGCTCCATCCATATTTCTGCAAAAGAAATGAGTTTATCTTTTTTGATTGCTAGTAATATTCTGTTGTATATATGTACCACATCTTCTTTATCCAGCCTGTTTTTTTTGGCATTTGGGTGGATTCCATGTCTTCCCTAGTGTAAACAAAGCACTAAACATTGGGGTCACATGTCCTTTTGAGTCATGTTTTTGCCACCTTTGTTTAGATACCTAAGAGTAGGATTGCTGGGTCATATCTCACTGCTAGGTGTTTTTATGATTATTTTTTTAAAGATTTATTTATTTATACATACAGAACCGAGTCATATCTCACTGCTAGGTGTGTTTTATTATTTTTTTTTGATGATTTCTTTATACATACAGAACTGGGGTACAGGCCAAAGGTGCAGGGATGAGTGAATCCACCAGAGATAGTAGGGAGCAGAACAGGTAGACTGAAATACACTGCTGAGGGGAGCAGCGGGAGGGCCAGGTGAGGTCTGCGAGCCATGTGGGTTACCCCCTTGGCTGGGGAATCAAACTAATGCTTCAGTGGCTGCAATTGCTTCATAGTGCTGTGCTGTAACCAGATGTGCTACCAGGAATGACCCTGTACTATTATTTCTTTTTTCTTTTTTTTTTAAGATTTATTTATTTGGCTCTCCCTGGTGGCGCAGCGGGTTAAAGCACAGCACTAAAGCCGCTTCCGTATGATTTCGATTCCCGCCTGCTTTCTGCTCTGTAGGTGACCACATGGCGTGGCAGACCTCTCCTGACCCGCCTGCTGCTCCCCTCAGCAGTGTACTTCGTCCATCTGCCTGTTCTGCTCCCCACTCTGTCTCTGGTGAAGCCTCTCACCGCCCCTGAGCCTCTGGCCTGTACCCCAGTTCTGTGTGCACAAATAAATAAATCTTAAAAAAAAAAGATTTATTTATTCATACAGAACTGGGGTATAGTTCCACGCCATGTGGGTCCCTTCCTGGGTGGGGATCGTACTTGTGCTGCGGTGGCTGCTGCTAGTTTGCAGTGCTGCGCCCTAACCCATTATGCCATCAGAGGGGGCCTGTACTGTTATTTCTAATGAATAAATTCATTGGGTTCTTCTTGGGTTCTTCAACAAATGATTTTTGTGCTTGGTGTTGTGGTTGCAAAGATGAGTAAGACATAATCCATATGAAAACAAAATAGTATGGGTATGGTTTTACAGTGATAGCAGATCATATTTATTTTTTTATCCTTACATGCAGACAGCAGCTGATATTTCTACTTGGTGTAAGCAGTTTGCAGCTTTTTGTTCAGAGTAACTGGACTGGGCCCCTTGTTGATTTACACCCTCAGGATTTTTTGCCATCTATATTGTTCCAGCAATTCAGTGAGGTAGGTTCTTGGAAATGTCCTAGTTATTATTGTGTTACTTTTTCTTTTGGAGCTGGTCTTCACTGGAGTTAATAAAAAGTAGGAGAAAAGCATACTTTATATCTCAGACTTCTTTTACTGACCATAGTTTCAGATATTTCCAGAAGTCCACCGGCAGTCTCAACTTCTTTAGCCACTCCCCTTCCCGTGGCGCATTGGGAGCTGCTCTTTTATTAAAGCACGGGCGCGGCGCCAGCCCCTGCTTGCTATTGTGTTGTGTGCGAAAGTCTATGAAGTTAAGGTGCTGCTTCAGTGCTCACCTTTTCTTGAATTTGTTGCTTCTCTGAAAGTACCGGCAGATGGGTGGTCATCTGTTAGAGCGGGTTGGGTTTATAGCTCTAAGGCCATTTATAGTGTTATGATTCTGTCCATTGCCGATTGTTGTATCATTTTTAAAAAGTTGAATTAATAGGAAAATATGTTTCATTACAGAACCTGTTAATTTTATTTTTTTCTAGGTCAGAAGGCTGGAGGCAGTTGTTCTAAATCTGCTTCTTCTAGATGGTGAATCAATCTATAGCCTGACATCAAAGCCCATACTCCTGTTATTAGCACGAGTTATCCTAGTGAATATAAAACATAAGCTGATGGCGATTCAGGTAAGGGAAGAAAAGGAGCTGGGAGACTTCCGTGCTGGTTAGCATTAGATTTCAAGTGTAATGTTGAGAATATCGTGGTATATTTGTTTTGTTTTGTAAGTCTTCCGGATACTAACTTTCTCTGCTGCCTTTATTTTTTATTAAAAATTTTTTTTTTAATTGAAGCACCGTTGGATTACATCCTCGCTTGTATTTTAGAATATAGGGTGCCCCTCCAGGTGTTGTTTCAAAGCACACCGTCATCAGTGCACCCACAGTCAAACCGCAGACCTCTGTCCTTCGTCTCCACTGTGTTCGCTGTCTTCTCCCACCCCCTGCTCCCTCTGGATGCCTCAGCCCTACAGTCAGCTTACAAGGTTCAGTTTGTTTAGGTTGGCTTTGTCATACACTGTGATTTTCTGTATTTCACATATCAATGACACCATCTGGTATTTGTTTTTCTCCTGCTTATTTCATACCGCCTGATCCCTTCCAGGTTGTTGCAAATAGCTGTGTGGATCTTTTTTGATAGCCAAGTACTATTCCTTTGTGTGTACTTAAAGTGTGAAGAAAAGAGGCAAAAACTTTTTCCCTGTGAGTCATCTAATGTAAAATGAAGTTATATTTAGCTTCTTTAATAGGAGTATATGAAAGTATGTGCGCATATGTATAAATGTCCGTTCTGTGAATCTTAAGTATAAGTTAAAAACATCCTTTATAGTTTTTCCATGAATTTCATCTAAGGATAGTGAGCAGCAGTCAGAAATCTGGCATCTTGCAGTGGATCTTAATTACTGTTCTCAGGCTCACAGCTTACCTTGTTTTATTATTTAGTAGAATATCTGTTGGCTATTTATTATATAGTTTCTGTAGCTCACACAAAACTAGTGAGAAGAGGAGTCACACAGGATGTGGTAGGAGACAAGAAAAATCATGAAAAAGTCATTGGAGGATCAGTGTAGGTTGTTGCTGTGCAACATGCAATGAACTCTGCAACTGTTCGACTCTGCGGCTAGTGTGAAAATGGCTGTGGACAGTAGGGAGCATTGCTTATGACGTGACTAATGGTCACTAATGAGTGAGTGATACACTTTTAAGTTTTGTTGGTAGAAAACTTCCATCAGCAAGTATGGTTAATATTATTGGGGGAAAAATGGTACATGTACTGTCAGTAACTTAGGAGAACAAATTAGTGTGTGAACTGCTGGTTGCAGACGTCAGTCTCTGTAGGGTTCTGGAAACAAGTTCTTTTTTTTTTTTTAATATTATAATAGTTTGTTTTTACATATTTTTGTGCATTTTCCCATCTCAGTTGCAATCCCCTTGAGCTTCCATCACCAAATCACCCATGTGCCATCACCATAGTCCAATACACTTCCCTCCCCGCACTGTTTTTGATCCCACTCCCCACTCCACCCCCACAAAATGTCACTGGTACATAGCCATTCATCATTATCATTATTTTCTCGCCTGTTCCGTTACATTCCTGCTATGAGAGAAACCATCCGGTATTTTTCCTTTTCTTTCTGGCTTATTTCACTAAGCATGATCTTTTCCAGTTCCATCCATGTTGCTGCAAAAGACATGCGTTTCTTTTTTTTTTTGGTTGCTGAGTAATATTCCATTGTGTATATGTACCATATCTTTTTAATCCGTTGACTGAATATCTTGACAGATTCTAAACTAGCTTATACTTCAGCTTAGAATGTTGTTTCCTTTTGAACATCAACATACAGAGATATTTTATCTGAAATTGCCTTTCAATTAAAACATGCCTTTTCCCTGGGTCTTTCATATATCACTTAAATGTTGATGTTAACAATTACTTCTTTGATAATTGAAGAAAAAACAATAAAAAAGGTTCATATACCTATTCACACTAATTTTGAATAGCTAGTCATTTAAGAATATATCCTTTATTATGATACCGGTTTTATGGTGTCATAAAGGTGATTTTTTTCCCCCACAGCCTAATCTATGAAATATTTAGATGACTACTAGTAACATGTTAATGTTGATTGAATAGTCTTGGTTTTGAAGTCAGACCAGAGTTTGGTAAGTCACTTGACAGCTATGTGACCTTCTGCTAGCTCGTTTCTTGAATGTCAGTTTCCTTACTTGTAAAATAGAAGAAGTTGGCAGACACTTACTGGGTAACCTTTGAGTACATGAATGCTCCTCATGTCTAGGAGGTTATTTGTCGTGTGACTTCTCAATTAGAGCTCTCTGTAATAAGTGCTATAATCAGGAGATAGGATCTAAAGACTAAGTAAAGCAAGTCTTCAGGTTTCCTTGTTTTAATTAGTGTCCAAATTTTCTCTTTGCAAATAGAAGACACTTAATTTCTAGTATTAATTGTCTGGTTTTCTTTGTTTCAAACAATCCCCTTTCCTTTATAAAGAATTTGGGTTAAGAGTTAATTTGTGGATCTGATTTTTAGGAGTGGTATGTTTGCTTAAAGGAGCAATCTCTCACTAGAACTAGCTAAATTCCTGTTTCTATAAAAAGGATGAATCTGCCAACCCCCACTTACTTGTTGCTGACAACAGATGAGGGACAGATAATTGAAATGTAGACTGGCTTCATCAGGGATAGGAAAAGAATGCAAATAGGCAACCCCCTCAAGGAATTAAATTAAAAATGATGTGGAATCCCTTCTATAGACTAGTTTTACCTTGTCTTACATGGGCTGAGGAAACAACTTTTATAATTAGAAAGGATCTTGTCACAGAGTCAAAATTCACTTGTGATTGAATTGTTATTATATAGCTGTGGCGTGTACAGGATTAGAAGGGAACCAGGCAATTCTACTCCTTAATCAAATGAAGAAATTTAAGTTTTAGGAAAAATATGCTTTTGGTAATTAACCATAACTTATTAATAGGTATGGCTTTATAATGCACAATAACATAATTAATAGGATTATTCAATGCATGAGCATACTTGATCCTTTTTGAGCCTATCAGAATTAATACTTATAACTTTCACAAAATGCACAGGCATAGAGAAAGAGCTGGAACCCAGAGTGGGAGATAACTAAATCTAAGGTATTTCGTACTGTTTTTTTAACACAATACACACTGCTTTGAGGAGGATACAGAGATAAGATGTGATTGCTCATCATGTTGCATAGATTAAAACTAATGCTGGCATGCCTGTGAGCGTGGAAGGGAGATACAGACAATCTTTGAGAAATTTTGATGAGGGAATGCTTCATCGCTACAGGATACTCTTGCAGGACCTCTCCTAAAGGAGTTAGTCCTTTTTGGCACAGCACCACCAAGTGAGTAGAGCTGATGCTTTCAGGGAGGACATAGGCTGAAAATGGCCTCTGGAAACCTGACCTGCTGACAGTACGTGTTTTGCAAGAATGAGGTGTGATTCCTGTGGCAGATGGAGAAGTGGATTTAGATATTATTACGGAAGGGGTAGCAGTGGGTGCATGAGGTTATTGAGGAATAAGTTGACTGTCGCATATGTATAGAAAAACTCTAAACACCAATCCTAATTACCTTGAATTTTTTTCCTCAGAGCGTCCTTTTAAGCTGGCTTACGTGTGCTGTCTTTTTCTAGAGTTTGCCATGGTGGACAATGAGATGTGTGAATATTCATCAGCAGTTGCTTGAAGAGCGCTCACCTCAACTCTTTGCTCTTGCCGAAGGCTGTATTGATCAAGGTGTGTAGCAGATTTTGTTTTATGTGGGCATGTAGCTTAGACTGTAGCTCCATACTCATTTCTTGACTGACACATTTTATTCTTTGACAGGTAATAGTAACTTTTTGTTTGAGTTTTTAAAAAATTTTTTTCCTAGATATGTAATATCACAAAGTTTTAAGGCATTAGATGCTAGAATTTATTTCTGTTTTTGAACTTTAAAAAAGGCAATATTTCTGGTACCTATTTAGAAGAGTGGGTTGTAGTTTTCCTTAATTTTTACTATAGATTGCTTAAAGGTTTTGTATTTTTTCCCCTATTTTTTAAGAAACCTCATTAGAAATAAATGTGAATTATTCTCTTTATTTAAAAAAATTCTTAAATAATTTGAGTTAAAAAAATTCTTAAATAATTTGAGTTGAAGTAAATTGTACCAAATTATCTGCAGAGTAAGAAATTATTCATTTTATATCCACTTGAGTATGTGAAGAAAGGCTTTGTTATTTTACTCATGGTAGAAAATAGATTTTACAGAGAATGCCAATGGGTAGGTAGGCATTTTTACATTTTGTCTTAATATTTTTTATTGTAATATATAATGTACATAATAGAAAAGTCCCTAAAATATACATTAAGAATTTGCCAACTAATTTTTTTTTTGAGGTAACATTTAGTTCACAACACTATAGATTTCAGGAGTACATCTCATCTCAGCAACTGTCAGTCTAGAATACACTAGAATGTAACTAGAGCTCACTAGTTAGTAACTCAGTATTACTAAGCAGGCTGAAGCTAATTCTCAGTTTTTATTTTATTCTAGGACAGAAATACATAATATATACTAATTTTAGATAAAATGAACATCAGTATCTGATTCAGAAAGAGAAAGTAAGGAAAATATTCAATCAGTATAATGATACATTTTTGTTGTTTATATCAGGGCTTAGTTTATATTCTTTCAGGATTTTAGGTAATTCAGATTGTGGAGCAAGTAAGGACAAATCAGATCAAATTTTAGATGAAAAAGTATGTATTCTGAGCTTAAATCATGTGTAAATCAAAGTGCATATTTTAGAATGGGATTTAAACTTGATATATGAGAAAAGATTTTTTTTATTAAATGTAAGGAATTTTCTGTATAATGATATTTCTAAAGTAACAGATGAAAGATAGTTAATCCATTTTTTTCCCACAAAGTCTTTGATTTAATATGTTAAATCTTAAAAAAGATGTATTTAGTTATGCACACAATAACTGGGGTACAGACCAGAGGTGTGGGGGAGTGAGAGGATTCACCAGAGACAGAGTAAGGAGCAGAATAGGCAGATTCACTGAAAAACACTGCTGAGGGGAGCAACGGGCAAAACAAGAGAGGTCTACTATGCCATGTGGGTCACCTCCCTGGTGGGGATCAAGCTTGTTCTGCAGTGGCTGCAGATAGCTTCATAGTGTTGTGCTTTAGCCTGTTGTGCCAACAAGGAGGGCCCCTTAAAATTTTTAAGAGCACATTTATCTATATTTTCACGAAGACTAAGCAGCTCTTTAGGTTGTTTCTTGAGGGTTAATTCCACCCCCCCTTGTTTCTAGGTAACATAGTCAGTAGAAAATAGTAAGTACTCAGTATGTATTTGTTGACTAATAGTAACTCATACTTACTGAGCTATGTGTACACTTTATAGGTACAAACTTCCCTATACGTGTTCCATCTTGATAGTTTTTATCTGAATTAACTTCTGTATAGGAGTTTCTCAACAGTTGAAATAGTATAGCAGTTATGAGAAGATTATTAATACACTGCTAACATTAAGTGTATTAGTAACTTCTAATATTATAGAAGTTATGAGAAGATTATTAATTATGGGACTTTGAATCTTCTCAATCATAGTGTTGCCTGTGTATAGACTCATGATCAGAGTCAACTCTCTCATGGGGCTTGTAGAAAATGAAGACCAGGTGACCCATTTGGCATCACTGGCCTTCTTCTATTTTGAATAAAAGAAAATTGTGTCAATTAAGTCTTCCCCCTTTCATGCCATCACTTATTTTTGAATTAAAGTGAGATATTCTCCATAAAGCAAAGAAGAAGAGTGAGGAAAAGCTTCTAGTTCATGCAGTTGGGTAGTTTTGAAAGCAGAGATGAGTTGAGCATCACTGATAGTAATGGAGGGAAGTTGATTTTTTTTCAGTGGATGATGAGAAGATAGCATCAGGATTCAGTGCACCACTTAATTTTGTAAAAAGTTAAATATAATAATGCATAGGATATTATATGGTTCCAAGTTTTCATTATTTTATGGGAAATTGACAAGTGAACAAAAAAGTTGTCACTAGAAATTTTTTCTTTTTCCCCAAGGAAATCAAGTTTGATATAGTTGCGATAGAGAAAATTGTGTTTCTTCCCATTATCCCAGATTACATAAATTTGCATTTATGGGGTCTCCCTGGTGGCCTAGGGGTTAAGTCTCAGTGTTATCACCACTATGCCCTGGGTTCGATCCATGGCCAGGGATTGAACCCAAATACAGCACAGCAGACCTTTTCTGTCTCGCCTCTTGCTCCCTTCAGCAGTGTATTTCAGTAGATTTGCCTGTTCTCCCTGTTCTGCTCTGGTGAATCCGCTCACCCTTTGGACCTCTAGCCCATAACCTAGTTCTTGTATGCAAAATCAATAAAATAAATAAAAACCTTACAAAAAAGGAATAATTCTTTTAAAAAAATCTGCATTTATGGGTACATCTTTATCACACCTCAGTGACTAATGTTTATAACAGTGACTCATAGTTACTAAGAAAAGAAAATAATACCTTCCTTATGTACCATTTTGAAAGGTAGGGACTATTTGTATGATGTAAAATTCTGTTCTAAGATATAAATTAATTCTCAAACAGAAAGGGTTAATATGAATATCTGGAAAATATAACTGTGTGATTCATTTCCCAAGTGGTTTTAGTTCTTTTCTGAAGTTTTTATTTTAGGGTATTGTTTGCTGTGACTTGCAACTATGAATTTTTTATGTTGCTGTTTTAGGCTATTCAACAACATTTTCCATTTTATCTAGTCGTAAACTGGTCCATTTTGGCTATGTCTAAGTAGGTCTGCAGATAGTCTTAAACTGCAATATTTCATAAGCAATTTTATTAAAAAAATGAAGTTTTGTTCTGGGATTTGACCCAAATGTTGACCCTTGGTTTTAACTGAAATATTCTTCATTGTCCAGAGAAGGATATTATACTTGAAATGTTGCCCTTAAAGAATCATCAAAATGTTGGCAGGATTTCAGCCTATGAAACATAAGCAAGGATTTTATGAACAGCTGTGGTCTTTATATTTTTGTCCAGGAATGTTACATCAGCACCATGTAGTGGAATAGGCTCCATCAGAATGTCAGCAAACTTTGCTGGACCAATTACACCTATAAAAGGAGCAAGGCAGAATCTTGAAAGTAGGCTCCTAAGCGTGATCTAAGGCACTCTGTTGGATGTCACACTGTTGAAACCATGAGTCTCTAAAGACTGTAGAGGCACAAGCTATTTATTGTGGGACCTGGTACCAAAAACTTGTTCCACATACTGCATGTGGTGTAATATTGCTATTTAGCTATTCGAAGATGAGCTCATGAAGAAGTTGCTGCCTGAGAGAAAGCTGGCTGAAATACTTTGCCTGAGAATTCCCCGCTGTAACATTTACAGGGAGCAGTGTGATTCTAGGGCTGGATTGTTGGCACATTGAAGAGTCGTTCCACCGACGAGTTACTTGGTGACTGATGTATGCATTAGTGTGTAAAACTAAGTTTGATAACTTTGGCATGAATGTTAATATACTAAATATGATTAATTATTATCAGTAGGAAATTCATTTAAAATTGCATTAAAGAAATGTCTTTAGAACTGATTTTGGTTTTAACATGTCTAAAATGTAGTAGTTTTACCATTTTGATTTAGAATGTCACCAATATTCATCTGCTGGGCCCACATGCTTCTCTTTTTATTTAAGCCTACAGTCATTGAAATCTCAAAATTTGTGTTTATAGTTGACTCCATGATGTCCTCCATCTTTCTGCATATCTAGCCGGTTCTTAAATATTGTCAGTCCCATAGCCATCTTTCTTTTCCATTCCTGAAACTCTTATCCTACTCTGTGTCTGAAGTCCTTAGCTTGGAAGTCCTTTTAGGATTATCTTGTCTCACTGCTGAAGTAATTTTGCAAAGACTTGGACTCAAGAGAGTTTGCCCAGGTGCCAGAACTGTGACGTGGACTTTCTGTGTCCAAGTCCTGCTCTCTTCTTTCCAGTTCGTTTTTCAAAACTGGCAGAATTCTAACATCAAATCATGACAGCACAGTTCATTTTTCTGTTTTGTTTATTTCATACCTGGCACAGTGCTTTATCTTTAAACACATTAACTAGTTTATTTCTCATAACAATACGTGCCAGTTCATGGGAGATAAAGCAAGTCTACTATCTCGGTTTCTGTGGGACTCTTAGGTGACAAAGGTGAGGGGGTTTTGTACCATCACGTATTCAAAGGTGAGACCTTTGTCTCTCCTTTCCCAACTCCCTTGTCCCTTTTTGCCAACAAGCTTGGATTCAAATTGTGGCTTTGTTGCTTTATTACTGAGGTGACTAATCAATGTAATTTTGTGATGAATTAAGTGCGGTTAATATCAACCTCAGGGATACCACTATCAGAAATAAACAACATGCAAAATACCTGGTGCAAGGCAGAGAGGGTTTTCAGTGACTTTCACTTCCCTTTCAGGCTGGGTGATAGAATTGACTTTCAGCCTTCGGCTGTTTAGAGTCCATTTTCTGTGCAGTCATTACATGATTATTCTTGTGGACTATTTTGTTTCCACTACTGGAAACATTTGTGAGGAATTGTCGGGGATACTGTAATTGGATGGGTGACCTGGTAGACTCCCCTACAGCTTGGTGTGTGCTAGGTACCCCACTATTAAATTTCATTGATTTTCACCATCACTTTATTTCAGATCCTATGTTGCTAGTTTACTATCTGTCCATTTTTCATCTCTCATATTCTGAGCTAAATTATAATTTGATTACTAAGCCAGTAATCAATCATTCTGTATTTGATCCTCATATATCTATATCTATATAATAGATACAGATATATATATATCTGTTACTCTCTTTTTTTTTTGAAGGGGAAATTCAGCATTCTTTCTTTCCTTATATTTTATTTTTTCCTGTTTGAGATAACACTGGTTTATAGTACTTTGTATGATTTAAGGGACTAGGCTCACACCTCCTCCAGTGTATGTTGTTATCCCCCCCCCCCCTATATTCTTATGTGGGAAGCTATCAATTAATCTCTTCATTAGATATCTTTAGCTTTGTGCTTGGAATATATAAGTGCTTAGGGAGTGCTAGTTGTTACTGTTTTATGTATGTTCCTCATCTTCCATATTTAAAGTTTTTAAGAGTAGGTGCTAAGTAATATGTGTGTTTATATATACTTCACATACTATGAACGCAACATTTTACTCATTAATATATTTTTATTTGTGTCATGGTTTTTAGTGTTTTGTCTTCTCTTGCAGTGATGAAGCTGAAGAATCTGTTTGTAGGTGATTCTGGTCAATGTCTGGCTATTCAATTCCATCTAGAATGTGCATATATATATTTATATTTTTATGAATATAAGAAAGCAAAAGATCAATTTGGTATTGCCAAAGACATCAGCAAATTGCAAATTGACTTGACAGGTAAGCCTGCTTACCTTTGGGCTAACTGATTTATTTTTGTGATAAAATCAGTATATACATTGACTTTATTGTTTGGTAGGTTTTGATTTTCTATGTTTTGTTCTTGGGCTTACAAAAATAGATTTTACTGAAAGATCTTAAAAAATTTGATTTTCCTGAATAATAGGTTTTAGTGAAAGATTTTATTGAAAAATTACAATGTTAGAGTAAATAGGAAAGTATATATTTTTTATTTTGGAGGTTCCCGTAGTTTTAGACAGACACATATTAGTAATATATGGCAGCTGGGCAGTGCACATGAACCTTTGACCAATCAAGTGTGAACATGGGCTTCTTAGGCCCACTCAACTTCCAGGTCTAGCTTGGCCTTTTCACACTGCACTTTCTTGTAAATATGGTTTTTATCTTGTTTATATTCCTTAAAGGCAGATGTTTTTGGCTGTTAAAATATTTCTTTAATGTCTTCAAAGATTTATTTTATTTATTGATGCATACAAGAAATGGGGTACAGGTCAGAGGTGAAGGGGATGAGAGGATTCGCCAGAGACAGAGTGGGGAGAACAGCAGGCAGATCCACTGAAACACACAGCCAAGGGGAACAGTGGGCAAGACAGGAGAGGTCTGCTGTGCCATGTGGGTCACCTCCTTGGCTAGGGATCGAACTCATGCTGCAGTGGCTGGCTATAGCTTAATAGTGCTGTGACTTTAACCCCTGCAACACCAGGGAGGCCCACACAAAGATTGGCATTTAGTATACACTCAGTAAACACCGGTTGAGTGAACAAATACATTACAGATCTTCTCCTGAAACTTTTGTTTCTTTTAAATACCAGGTTAGAAACTTGGTTCCTTTTTGTGTATTACTTTATCTCTGATGTCCCTATATAGTTAGTACGTAAAGGTGAACACAATTAGTCCCTCATTGACCACTTTGTTCATTCCTCTTGAGCTTGGGGGTTCAGCTCTGCAGGCTTTCACTATCAGTCTGTGACTATTTGACCTCCCTAGGCTCCATCTAGACTATCTCTAAGGCCTATCTCTAAGGCCTCTAGGCCCTGGACATGATGCTTCTTATTGAGCTAGTCCTGTCAGTGAAATCCTGCAGCAATATTATGAATTAAATGTGGTTTTGTAGCTTGGTCTGGAGTCTCAGGCTTGTTTTATTATTGTGTGAGGAAGTAAATGCCCAGCTTATAACTTTGGGAGCAATGACCAGGTGTAACATGGAGTCTTGTCTGCATTTGAAAATTTAATTATATACGTATAACTTGTGAGGTTGGTTTCAGATATTATGTTTTTGAATGTTTTGGTCCTGGGAGAAATTTCTGGGACTATTAAAGATATAATTGCACAGTATGGTATAAAATGAGGTTTAAATGTTGGTGTATTTACTAGGAAGTTCTTCATATTTTTTCCCTCAAATTGAAAAGAAAGAACATAAAAATACAGATGTGGTGCTTACAAATATAAAATGAGAATCAGATTATTGTTTATTTTTCCACTCAGCTATAGCCTTAGCACAAAAAAAACCAGACTGAGTTACATCATTTTAGTAGCTATTTTTAGTGTACCATTTTAAAGGGTTGATGTCTAACCTAAATCAGACTCTTCACAGGATAAATCCAGGCTTCTAAGACTGGTCTTTGTAATCAAGGGTCTTTGTGATCTGAATCTCACTAGAGAATGTATATTAGAAGTTTTGCTTCTCTTAAAGCTGCTCTAAAGCAAATTATTCAGGTACAGAATGAAAGAAGTTTTGGTGTTACATGAAGCTAGATAGTGTCATATGAATATTGGGGATTTAGAACCTAAAGATCCTGACTTTGTTAATTTTCATCGTTTATGTGCAGATAATACTATTTCCTCTGCCTAAACTGCATAGTGACATTTTCTGAGGAGGGCTGTAGTTTGAGTAAGTATGTGGAATCTAGTGCTACAAGCCTGGGTATAAGTTCTGACTCCATAGCTTACTGATTTTATATTTTATCAGTAATTTAAACATTGTTTTTTGTCTTCATGTTTCTCCTGTGTGGAATGGAGAAAACACCTTATAAACTCTAAGGCACTCTGAGAAATACTACTTTGCGCTTGCATTGTAAATCTGAATGACCCATCGAGAGATAGAATTTTACATTTTTTTCAGGTGCTTTGGGAAAAAGGACACGGTTCCAGCAGAATTATGTGGCACAACTTATTGTTGATGTAAGAAGGGAAGGGGATGTCTTTTCACGATGTGAGTTCAGTCCAGCACCTACTCTTCAGGAACTTTTGACCAAGGTGAGCAACTAAGTTATGTAAGTGAATAGCAATGTCTAGTAGTTTCGATTGATGTTCATAGAAACCCTGAATAGGATGGGAAGTGGAATCACTTTTGTCTCATGTACAACCTTTTAGTTTTTTTTTTTTTTTAAAGATTTATTTATTTATTCATACAGAACTGGGGTACAGGCCAGAGGCTCAGGGACGGTGAGAGGCTGCACCAGAGACAGAGTGGGGAGCAGAACAGGCAGATTGACGAAGTACACTGCTGAGGGGAGCAGCGGGCGGGCCAGGAGAGGTCTGGCTCGCCATGTGGTCTCCTCCGGGGCAGGCGGCAGGCGGGAATCGAACTCATGCGGAAGTGGCCTCAGATTCTCAGTGCTGTGCTTTAACACTCTGCGCCACCAGGGAGGGCCTCATGTACAACCTTTTAAAGGTGGCTGGTGGTGAGGGGTTAAAAAAAGAAGCCCTCTGGCCCTCCCTGGTGGCGCAGCGCATTAAAGCACTGCACTGAGAAGCTAAAGCCACTTCTGCATGAGTTCGATCCCCGCCTGCCCCTGAGGTGACCACATGGTGCAGCAGACTTCTCCTGACCCGCCCGCTGCTCCCCTCAGCAGTGTACTTCGTGGATCTGTCTGTTCTGCTCCCCGCTCTGTCTCTGGTGAAGCCTCTCGCCTACACTGATTCTCTGGCCTATACCCCAGTTCTGTATGTACAAATAAAATAAAATAAAAAAATAATAAGAAGAAGCCCTCTGCTTATCCCTTTTTCACAATGTAAGAGATAAAATAAATTTTTTTTTTAAAAAAGCACACTTTCATAGAGATCTAAAAGATGTCAAAATTACTAGCTGCAAAGTCAATTCTGGCATGTGGTTTCATTGTTATTTTTAAAAGATTTATTTACTTATACATATAAGAGCTGAGGTGCAGGCCAGAGGTGCAGGGGGTGAGAGAATTCACCAGAGATGGGGGGAATAGAACAGGCAGATTGAAATACACTGCTGAGGGGAGCAGCAGGCGAGACAGCAGAGGTCTGCTGCGCCCTATGAGTCAGCAACCTGGCCGGGGATGGAACTTGTGCTGCAGTGGCTGGGGAGAGGTTTGTAATGCTGCATCTTAGCCCCTTATGCCCCTGGGATGGCCCCTGACTTGGAAATTGAGCTTTAAAGATTTCAGAAGGCAGATCTGAAATACCAGTTTTAATATTCCTGAGCTGTAATTTCAAGGATATGCAAAACAAAAAATATTCTACCGGAGAGCCCAGGTGTGTGTCTTACATTGCTTTATTGCAAGGTTGCACAAGGTTATTTGCCAAAGGTGCCTAGAAGTACAGCCTAGCATAGTTCCAGGCTTTTGCTAGGTAAGCTCGGTAAGGTAGTTTACTACTCAGCAAGGGCAAATGAGACAAAAAGACACATCTGTGATGGAGGCACAGTAACAGCGTCATAAGCATCTCCTTGGGCCTTAAAAGCCTTAGAAGACTGCAGCTGCTTTCTTGGTTCAGTAGAATCTTATGAGGTTCAAGTGGAAATAAAGTGGAACAATATTTTAAATTTGGGGTTTGTAGAACAGTTAGGCAAGCAGAAGCAGCAGTAGATTCATTTTCTTTTCAAAAAGAACTGAATAGGAACTTAGAGAATCTTGAATAAAGATCAGAACTGTTTTCATCACTGGCTTGTACCTGGCAAATCAGTTCTGCCTTGTTGCTCACACTTGATGCTTGGTCAAAATTGAATTGTACTGAAGTGTGAAAGATACATGATTTCACGATGAAATGTTTAGTACCTTCAATAATTTTCTACTGAGACATTTTACAAGGATATTATTTTTCATGTACTAGGTTAAATAATTCCATTTCTTTTAATTATGCTTTTTAACTGTAGTTGTTAGAACTTTACTTATGTGGATATATATGTATGTATGTATGTATGTATGTATGTATGTATGTATGCATGTATGTACCTACCAATCTAGACTGAGAAAGTGCGCACTATATTTAAAATCATGAACAGCCACCAGAGTGTGCTATACATCTGCTCCTCTTCCTTGAGGCAAGGAAGTTGCTCCTGCTTTTTCAGTGGAGACTGAACGACAGCATTCAGTGCTCCTGCCTTCAGCCTCTGGGGTCGCTGTACCTGCAGAAAAAGGCAGGCAGTAGCCAGGGTGCTGGTGAGGATGAAGGAGAGCTGCTGCGCCTTGGGGCTGTGGGTTGTGTGGATTCACTACCTACCAGTAAGGAGGTTACCAGTCAGCAGGCTGACCACAGCCATGGGCAGTTTCCCACTGTCTAGCTCCCACCTTTCATTACCTTTATTGAATTAGACAAAAATTAAATCACATTTACCAAGGAGTTATAAAATAAATGTACCTTTTTTAACTCTTGAGTTTGGATAAATAGATCCATGAAACACCACCATAATCAAAATACAGAACTATTATGTCAGAAAGTCCTCTCATACTTTCTGCGGTCAGTCACATTCCTTCTGACTGATTAGCTGCTGTTTTCTAGAATTTCAGATACGTAGAACATGTACTATGACTCTCTTGTGTCTGGTTTCTTTCACTTATGTTTTTGAGCACAATTTTTTTTTTAGATTCATCTATGGTTTGATGCCAATAGCTGGTTCCTTCATTTTTCTTCATTGTATGGGTAAACCACAATGTGATATCCATTTACCTGTTGATGGACTATTGAGCTGCTTATTTAGCATTCTAGTGTTTGTATGAACATGTTTACTATTAATAGTAAAATAGTTTACTATTTTACAGTCTTGCCATCAAAATAGAGCACTCCTCTTGCCAGTGCTTGATACTGTCAGCCTTTTAAATTTTACCATTCTAGTGAATGTATATAGTAGGGTCTCACTGTCATTTTATTATTCTTTGATAAGTCATTTTTGAAAAAGTAAACTCTTAAGAAATATATAGTGGGGCTTTCTATGGTGGCACACCAGGTTAACACATTGTGCTGTGAAGCTGTCCACAGCCACTGCAGCACGAATTCGATCCCCAATCAGGGGGGTGACCCATATAGTATGGCAGACTTCTCCTAGCCCGCCCACTGCTCTCCTCAGCAGTGTATTTTAGTCTTTCTGTTTTGTTCCTGCTCTGTCTCTGATGAATCCTTACTCTTCCACACCTCTGGCATAAATAAATAAATCTTAAAAAAAAAATAGAGAAAGAAATAAATCCATTTTAATTGTACAGCTTGACAAGATTTGACAAATCTGTAGATCCCACCACTGTAGTCAAGATAAGTGTCCCATTACCCTGAAAGTTTCATCATCCATCATGTTCCTTTGCATTTTGTCCCCCACTCTATGGCCATAAAAATATCTTAATAATTGGACAGCAGTCCTGCCCACCTGTGCATATACAGGTGCTTCTCTCCCCCTCCTCAGGGCAGCATCCTCCTGCCTGCCATTGACCTGTACCTGCCCAGACTTCTCTGTGCCAGCCTCTCTCAGCAGAGGCCGCTCTCCTCAAGGTTACCCGCCTGCAACCATGCAGGCCTCTCAGCAAATCTGTCCCTCTTGGGTCAGCTCTTTCTGTCTGTTTGTGTGTATACAAGTGTCTTTTACTCCCCTGTCCCTTTCTCTAATAAACCTGCTCTTTAAATATAAAAAAATCATGACAATTGTCATGATTTAAAGAACTTTGTCAAATCATCTCGGCACCTTTGTTGAAAATCAATTCACTATATGACATGGACTAAAATTTTGGGCCATTCTTTTCTGTTCCATTCAACTATATATATATATATATATTTTTTTTTTTTTTAAGATTTATTTGTACATACAGAACTGGGGTACAGGCCAGAGGCTCAGGGGCGGTGAGAGGCTTCACCAGAGACAGAGTGGGGAGCAGAACAGGCAGATCAACGAAGTACACTGCTGAGGGGAGTAGCGGGCGGGTCAGGAGAGGTCTGCCACGCCATGTGGTCTCCTCCGGGGCAGGTGGGATTTGAACTCATGCGGAAGTGGCTTTAGCTTCTCAGTGCAGTGCTTTAACCCGCTGCGCCACCAGGGAGGGCCTCAACTATATTTTTATCTTAATGCGAGGTTCATATTGTGTTTGTAGTAGTTTTTATTCATTTTTAGATTGTATTCTATATCATATTGAGAAGCGGAGTTGGGAGTTAAATTTTAGATTAGAATTCAGAGGCAGAGTGGAAAGATCTGGGTTTGAATGATGATGTATCAGCAGAGAGGCTTTCACACACTAGACTCAATTTCTTCTCTGTTAGTTGATATTGACTGTGTATCCCTTGGGGGCTAGGAGATAAAGTAAAGTGTTTTCAAATACGTGTCTCGTTGGAAAGTGCCTCTTTATCATATATATGTAGGCATTTCGTAATCTTACACACCATGGTAAGGTAACCCCACCAGTAATTAATTGCGTGTTTCTGTTGGATGAATCAAACTTAATTTTGGGTCTCCAAATATTTCCTTTTGTATTCCACCAGAATCTTGAACTCAATGATGACACTGTTCTGAATGAGATAAAGTTAGCAGATTGTGAACAATTTCAGATGCCTGATCTGTGTGCTGAAGAGCTTGCTGTTATCCTTGGAGTCTGGTAAGATAATGACCTGCTTGGCTACTTCAAAGACCTTGAATGAGGGTTCTCTTGTGTTGAGGGAATCATTATTTATGGCATTCCCAAAAGTTCTGGATGAATTGGGAATTCTGTAGTGCCCACCAAGGTTGAGACTAGTTAGGCACCCAGCCCAAAGGATCTCCTGGGAATTGACATAGTCATCTTTTTCTGACTTTCATTAAGGAAAATTTCTTTGGCTAGTCTTAGTTAGGAATAACATTTACATATTTCCTTTCTTTTCCATTCCATCTCTTTCCTTTTGAACACTTCTGGAGCTCTTACACTCTCTATGAAACCTTGGTCAGAAACAGGCCCTCTACAAATGGTTTAGCACCAAGTTTCCCACCAGCAGGCAGTGTGATGGGCAAGGGGATACCAGAAGGCTTCTGAGACAGTGGGCCCTCAGCATTGGATCCCAGTTCTGCTTCTGAGTGGTGTCATATCATTCTGTTGTGTAGGATAGGAATAGACACTTAAGAGCGATGGCAATGACTATTTTGACCTTTGAGGATATTCACACTTCAAAGGGTAGAATTATATTTTAATACTGTATATAATATAATATATAATACTGAGCCTTATATATGGGGGAAATCACTTTTCCTTTTTTTCCATTGGGGAGTAATTCAAAGTTGGAAAAAAGTTGCAAAAAACTTTTGAGAATAACTTTCCAACATTATACCCTATCACTTGTGAATTCTTTAATGTGTGTTTCCAACAAAGGCATTTTTTGTACTGCGATGAAAGTCAGGAAAATTAACATTTATATTTTACTATCATTTAGTTTTCAGACCTAATTCACGTCTGCCAGTTGTCTTTCTAGCACAGGACCAAGGCTGGAACAGAGGTGTGCCTTTATTGTCATGTGACTAGCTTCTGTCAGGCTGAAATAGCTCCTTGTCTTGGCTTGACTTTCATGATCTTGACACTTTTGAAACTGATAGGCCTGTTCATACGTAGGCTTGCGTTTAATTTGAGTTTATCTAATTTTTTAAGAATTAAATGATTGGATTTGTACTGTGCATGGTCAGCAGGGCTGTCAGGGCTTCAGCTCTGAGGTTCTCACTATACCTGGCAGTGGGGGCACATGGTGATTGCCCTGTTCCTGATAATGTCACATTTCATCATGGCATTAAGGTGGTGCAGGCCCATCAGCTCCACCATGAGGTTTCAGTCTTTTTTGTCTTTGTAATTAACATCACAAAGGAAGGTACAGTCAGGCTACCTAAATACTGGGTTTCTCACCTGGAGGTTTAGTAATGTTCAAAATAGAATATGTCAAAATATTAGAAGAATTGAGAACAGTTGTAATGGAGATTGCTATTTTTCAGATGGCCAAACAGGATCCGAGAGGCTAAATGACCTGGTCACAACTACAAAACAGCACTAGGGACTGCATCTAGGTTTTTCTGACCCTCAATTTTGAGTTCTCCTTTTTACCATTTCTTAAAATGTTATTTTGGCAAGTTCATAATTGTCAGCATATCAGAAAATTAAATCAAGTCAGATATCAATATTCTTAGGCATTCTGTGTATTGAGCTTTAGTTAATTGACTTTACAGTCGGACTTCATAGATGAGAAAGGACTAAGAAGAAAACCAAGAAAATGCTTGTCTCCAAATACTGTTTTTTTTTTTTTAAAGATTTATGAATACAGCATTGTGTTACAGTTCAGAGGTGCAGGGGTGGTGAGAGAATTCACCAGAGACAGAGCAGGGAGCAGAACAGGCAAATTGACAAAATACACTGCTGAGGGGAGCAGCGGGCGAGACAGGAGAGGTCTGCCATGCCATGTGGGTCACCTCCGGGGCAGAGGTTGAATTTGCACCAAAGAGGCAGCTGCCAGGTTCGCAGTCCTGCACTTTAACCTGCTTTACTACCAGGGAGTGTTTCCAAGTACTATTTTCCCCCCAAAGAAGATCTATGTGTAATCTCGAAGCCATAGAGAACAATTAAAGGTGCTGAGTAGATTTCATAGGCAATTTGAATCTTCTTTGTTTTAGAAACTCCTTGATTATATTCTGAGTCTTGGAACATCTGAAGGAGTTTGTAAACCTTTAGGTTTGAAAATAGGTAAACTGATGGTTTGTATGCATGGAGTTACTTTGGGACTTGTAAAAAGAGATTGTGTAATACTTTGACCCTTGTGGTCCCTACCCCCTATGCATAGGTGACCTGGACACTATGGTAGGCTCAGTTGCTTTGGAAAGGAGAGACAGACAAGCTGAATGCACACAGCTAGAAGGCACTGGCCCAGTGGTGGGCTTGCTGCATTCTGCATCCCTTGTACCATTTCCTTCCCTGGCCTCCTGCTTGACTTTGTTTTACCTGAAGGCCCATATGTTGAAACTTGCCTGTGTCTCTTCAAGTTGGTATTTTGGATTGCTTTTGTGTAAAGTAACTATGGAAGGAGTTCCTTAAAAAATATCATCCTTTAGTTATTCAGACTGTCAGTGTAGGGGAGAGTAAATCCTTTTAAATTAACGGTCTGAAACTCAGGTATGCATAGTAATATGTTCTAAACCCAAGTTAGTAAATTATAAAGAGTTGTGGCCTGACTGACTATACCATAATTACTTGTAATGAGCCTGTAGTAATTCACTTCATCTGTATACACTAAGCAGTGAATTTAGCATTGGAATTCAGGTTTGGAATGTGAGAGATAAATGTTAATCCATTTTAGATGAGGTTCTTATCTTGGAATGACTTTTATGCTGTTATTCACTCATCAGAATCATAGAGTCTTAGAACTGAAAAGACCGGGGATTAATTGGATCAGTTTGTGACCTGGTACATAATGCCTTTGTGAAGTTAAACTAGAAATGTTTGCTTGTGTATGTATATGTCTTGTGACTGTTTTAAGCAAATTGATTTTGTCTTTCCCCTTTCATCATTTTACTTTTTCTTACCAACAATCATTGTAGGTTTATTTTAAGATTATTATTATTATTTGAAATGTTCATCTTTTTTTTTAATCACATTGAGGTATCGTCTCACACCTGTGAGAGTGACACATTTTTATTTTATTATTTCTAAAAGATTTATTTAGTATCTTACAGAACTGGTGTACAGGCCAGAGGTGTGGTAAATGAGAGGCCTCACCAGAGACAGAGTGGGGAGCAGAACAGGCAGATCTACTGAAATACACTGCTGACGGGAGTGGCGGACAGGTCAGGAGAGATCTGCCATGCCACGTGGGTCAGCCCCCTGGCCAGGGATCAAACGCTGCTGTGGCTTCTGAGAGCTTCATAATGCGGCGCTTTAACATGTTGCGCTACCAGGAGTAGCCCCGTTTTTATTTTTCTTGAGGTGGCGCTGTGTTACTACACATACCAGCACCAGGGCACCCGCAGCCTCTGCCATGGTGCACTGGCCTCCCGACTCCCTGCTCTCCCTCCCCACCTCCACTAGACTCAGTTCTACAGCCAGACTTCTAGGGTTTGTGACTGGTTTGGTTCTGTCTGACCTTTTGTTTTGCTTCTCTGTATTCCACATGAGTGAAACCATCTGGTGTTTGTCTTTTTCCTTCTAACTTATTTTGCTTACCATAATCCTCTCCAGTTTGATCCACATCAAACGCTTCATGCTCATAACATCCTCCAACAATATTGAACATTACAAGGAAGTGGCACTGTTTTGTGAGGTGGCATTTTCATCTCATTTTAATATAAATAATGTTTGTATGGAAAGCTGTATAGAAAGTTTATATAATATATAAACCTAAGTTACATAGTATGATAACAGAATGAACCTGTCCAGTTTCAGAACTTGATTATAAATACCATTAAACATGTGTGCGTGCTGCTTCTCCATTTCTCACCCTCCTGCCTCTCTCTACTGAAATTCGTTTGTCATATTTCAAAAAATATATTTACACACTTTTTTTTCATTTTGTCTTTTGACCTTTACAGGAGTGGCATCTTACTGCATGTAACCTTCTGTGATTTGCTGTTTTCTCTCATTGTTTCTGTGATTCATTCATAATGTCATATGTAGCTAAGTTTACTTTGCAGGCGTTTACAATATTCACAAATTGCTACTTGCACTCCTGTTTAAGAATTTCTCTACTGAAGATGGAATTCTGAGTTCATATGACATATGAATGTTCACTTTCTAAGGTAGTGCTAAAGTGTTTTTCACAATTATTCTACCAAATTTGAATTCCCATTATCCTCCTCTCTGACAAAGTTATTTTTTTGTCTGTCTAGTGATTGTAGCAGTATTTTAATTTTTCTGGCATGAGTTGGTATTCTATTATTCTTTTAATTTTTTTTCTGAGTTGCACAGATTAGGTTTCTTTTTTTCTAGTAAAGTAAATTATGTCTAAATTTAGCATATTAACTGCATTATATTTGGCAGCTTATTTTTATGTTTTGTACTTACCTTGGAAAACTCATATTGGCATTTGTTTATAATGTAATTATATTAAAACATCTGTTTTCAACTGTATAGTTTACTTTGCCTTTTTAAAATTTTTGCCTCTTTAGATACAACCTGTATTTTAGAATTAATTTACTTTTTCTTTAATTTAAAGCACTAATTTCCAAAAGAATAACCCAGTGCATAAACTAACAGAAGAGGAGCTGCTGGCATTTACATCAGTGAGTAAAATCTTTCTCCTTTCCACCTCGCCTTTTTTTTCACTTGTGAATTATTTTGTCTCAGGTGTATTCTTGTCTCATAATGCCCATGTTGAAACACTGCTACCTAAAGGAATTAAAGGTGAAAAAAACCTCATTATTTTAGTTTCCAAGTAGCACTTATGTTGATACTGATTTATTTTTATTTTTCATTTAAGTTTTTTTTGTGTAAAGTATACTTTACTGATGGTATTTGACAAGGTTGGATTCTCAAAGCCCCTCTCCTTTTGCAAGGAGCTGGGATGGAACTGTGATGAGTTGAGGAAATTCTCTGTCGGGGAGTAAGGAAGGACTTTCCAGTCTTCACTCCAAAGCCACTATAGTTTATAACTCTTTTGTTAGATGCTGAGGGTGACTCCTCAATGGACGTGATGAAAAAGAGGGCTTAAGGGAATTAAGAAGGAGAACTTGGATTGTACAGACTGAGGGAGGAGGCAGTGTCCAGAGCATTGGTGGGGAGGGGTGCTTGTCCACATTTAACAGAATAGAATAATCAGGAAAAATGTGCCCCAAGAAAAGACTGGGTGCTTTGATAATTGGAGTGCATTGTATCAGTGGAATATCTGGGTCATCACCTCATTACAGAGAGTTGGGGAGGGAAGGGGCTATAAGAAAGTAAAGTTGATAAAGGCCACGATTGGAGACGAATGCAGTGAAGAGGAAAGATTGACTAATAGATAATTGAGAATTCAAGATCAAAGAAAGGTTTTCAAGAAGGAAAAAGTCATAAAGCAAGGATCAGTAAGTATCTTTTTTAACTTTATGGATAAAAAGAAGATACGTGCATCTTTAAGAAACACAAGTTACTTAAATACATCATTTTTTCAGAGATATTTTTTATTGCCATAGTTAGGAATCCAGTTAGAATTCTGATGACTCTTCCTTTGTTATTTTTCAGATAAAGTAGAAAGAAATGCTAGCTTAGTTTATACTATCAATAATAAAATTTTTGCTAGTTACTGTTTTCTGTGTAGGGTTTTGGAACTGACTGGATATTAATCCTCTGGGTATCTGTTTTATTTTCCCTTTTACTATCCTTGAAATCTCTGGTGTTTATTGTGTTTAGGTACCTATGTGAAAATTTTCCTATTCATTACATATGCTTTAAGGAATTTGAGAAGTGTTAGACATTTTTAAAAAGATATGTGAAGGAAAAAAACATTATATACTCCATTTATTCATTTAAGTACTGCTTGTTGAATGCTTACTATTTCCCAGGGGCTATGCTAGTCTAGTCATTGGGGATGCAGCTATAAGCAAAATCTTTGCCCTCTCAGAGTTCATGTCAGTTTATATTTTGTGGGAGAATTGTGTAGTAGACAAAGCAAGAAATGTTTAATGTTTTATGGAATTGTACATGGAAACTACACGAGCATGTTGAAATTGACTGTAGATATGGAAGGGAAGGGAATGGAGAGGAAACAATGGCACACTTCTTCTCTGTGGTGCCATTTCCCCACTGTGGTGGCCTGGGCTGGGGCTGTGAACTGTTGGAGCTCACAGGCGTCTTCTCTGTGGAGAAAGGAGCAAGTGCAGTAGAGACCTTAATCTGCCCACTGTGTGACCATACGCCCTTGGAGTGATAAGATTCCCAGGTCATTGGTTGTTAGGTATTAATTATTGAGTAAATAAGTTGATGGCTTATTGGATCTTAATTTTATTCAATTTTAATGAACTGTCTTTACAGTTTACTAAAACAATAGTGAAATCTCATTATTGGAGAAATGCTTGCCAGCACTTTCACGCTGGTGCAGCAATGTTAGAAGTTTGTTCTAAAAGGAATCCTTTACTTTAAAGGTTGTCATTATGTAGTGCTGTTCCTGAGATTATGTCCACACCTTTCAGGAAAATGGAATGAGTCATACTAAAATAGTCCATATTGTTTTAGAGAGCCATTTATGTTATATTCACTTGATATTTTAAAATAAGCTGTGTTACCTACATTATTTCCTTTCAGATGGGCCAAGTCAGGGACTTTCAGTAATGCTTTTAATTTCCTTTCATTGTTGCAAATAGGAACAATTTAGTTAATTCATACAGGTGTTTCAGTTTTTATTGGCAAAATTTTTGCTACAATGTGAATTGACACTGGCAGCCTGCCCTCTGACTGTCTACTGAAAGCCCCAAGGACTCTGTAAAAGAAAGAAGAAAAAGGACCTTTGGAAGTTGCACATTTTGTTGTATGTATTTTCTCTTTCTGGGTTTCATTTTAAAACTAGTTAATAAGTACTTAGGATCAGCAAATGAAGAATGAAGAAAATGTAAATCATTTCTAAGAGAAGAAGTAGTGAAGACTGGCACCAAAGAGGGGTGTAAATGTTGTAATTAAGAGATTAGAGTTATAGAAAAAAGGCTCCTTAATTATATGCAGATACAAAGGAAACATGCTCATAATAGTCAAAATGAAGGATTTCCACATAAAAGCAGATGCTGTAAAAATGATCCAAAAATCAAAATCCTAAAAATGAGCGTGTAATATGTGAAATAAAAATGCATTGGATAAGATTAACCATTGAATGGAGATAAATTAGTTGTTAGTGAACTTGAAGATAGTCTAGTAAAAGCAGCCAAAAGGCCAACAACTTGATCTCTGTTTTCTATAAATAAAATTTGTGGAGTATGGAAAAAAGCTGTGAAAGCATGGTAATAGCAGGAGATTCAGAATCTTAGGATTTGCCAAGGTTGCTACTAGATATTATAGAAGAAAGAAGGTATAAAATAGGCCTTGCCTTCATGGAATTTTTAATTTAGCCAAGATCAGATAAACTTACGAAAATGTAATTAACAATACCAGGCAGTTTAAACCATGAATTGATAGCACAGATAAAATACCCTAACTGCTTAGAGAAAAAGAAAATATCGAAAGCAGAGAAAATACTTAGTGAAAGAAGGCTTTGTTCATCAAGGGAGGATTTGAGTCAGCCTTGAAAGTCCGATGCGGTTTAGGTGGAGAGTGATCGCATGAGGTGGCAGTGTGTGAGCTGTTCAGTGGGTAGGAAGAATGGTTTGGGACAATAGTGGGACTTGGGGGAAAGTTAGACTTGGGGCAGATTTTAAATGGTCTATAGAGCAAGGATAGAGAATTTAAATTATCCACTGGGAATAATTTATAGACTAAATTTAGAATTTAAACCTGTCATTTGGCACTGATTTTAACAGTGAATGCTCTTTTAAACAGATCATTAAGATGAGGAAATAGTTCCACTTTTTATAGTATTTCTTCGTTCCCAGCTTTGTAAAGTCAGCCTGACCTGGGTGGGCATCGTCTGATTTAGTTTTAGTGTAGCCAAATAATTATATAGTCACAAGGAGAGCTCTGAGCTGGCTTTGGAAAAAAAAGCAGCTATCTTTAAAAGAGCAGAATGGCTGGCTGTCATATTAAGGGTCCTCTGACTTCTGGAAGATTATTTGAAACCTGCAATGATAAGAATGAAAGGAAATTATTTTTTTAAAGATTTATTTACTTATGCATACAGAACTGGGGTACAGGCCAGAGGAGCAGGAGTGGTGAAAGGATTTACCAGAGACAGAATGAGGAACAGAATAGGCAGATCTATGAAGTACACTGCTGAGGGGAGCAGTGGGTGAGTCAGGAGAGGTCTGCCGTGCCATGTGGGTCACCTTCAGGGCCGGGAATCAAACTTGCTCTGAAGTGGCTGCGTCTCACTTGCAGTGCTGCACTTTAACCCATTGTGCCATCAGGGAGAACCAGGAAATAAATTTATTTATTTATTCATTCATTTATATTTATTTATTTATTCGTACAGAACTGGGGTACAGGCCAGAGATGCGGAGGGTGAGAGGATTCACCAGAGACAGAGTGGGGAGCAGAACAGGCAGATCGACGAAGTACACTGCTGAGGGGAGCAGCGGGCGGGCCAGGAGAGGTCTGCCGCGCCATGTGGTCACCTCCGGGGCAGGCGGGGATCGAACTCATGTGGAAGTGGCTTTAGCTTCTTAGTGCTGTGCTTTAACCCACTGTGCCACCAGGGAGGGCCTGAAATATATTTTTTTATTTTTATTTTTTTTTTAAGATTTATTTATTTATTCATACAGAACTGGGGTACAGGCCAGAGGAGCAGGAGTGGTGAAAGGATTTACCAGAGACAGAATGAGGAACAGAATAGGCAGATCTATGAAGTACACTGCTGAGGGGAGCAGCAGGCAGGTCATGTGAGTCACCTCCAGGGCTGAGGAGTGAACTCATGCTGAAGTGGCTTTAGCTTCTTAGTGCTGTGCTTTAACCCGCTGCGCCACCAGGGAGGGCCTGAAATTTATTTTTAATAAACAAGACTCCACTTCCTCTTTGGTGTTACGAGCTACATTACTTCTCTGGGTTTAGGGGACTGTGGCCTGCAGTAGGAAATTATTAGCTGAAAAAACAATCTATATATGTAGCTTGTGATAACATTAAATTTTATTTCTCAGTTTGAGTTAAAATGATATTTACTGCTTTTCTCATTATAAGCAGTTAATGGCGTTCCCTCAGATGTGAGATTATCATAGTTTCCTTTTTTAGTGTGAGTCTGAGCATCAGCTCAGGTGATATTTTAGTGTGCTTCTACTAAGACAGGCAGCCCGGTCTCCTTTTTACTCTCAAATATCTTTTTACACTCTTTATCAACAATTGCTGAAGTAGGTTGATTCTTTAACTTTTAAATGGGATGCTACTAGGGTTTATTTCAACAGTCACAGTAGTGAAAATATATATTAACTATATGAAGAGATAGATACTAATAAATTCTTACTGGGCTAATGAATCATCTTTTATTATAGATTTTGGTTATTAAGATTTGAGAAATGAGAGAAAATTTCAAAACAGCTGTGGAAATGTAGGTGTTGGTGTGCTCACATTTAGGTATTTTCCACCCTCTGCCCAATATGTCACAGGGGACTCTCTCCTATAAGTGGCTGCAGAAGGCAAGCTCCCCCCAAGCCCTCCTTTCAGTATCTGCAATGTGCCAGCCAGTATGTAAGGTGCCAGTGAGCCACATGTCTGGGGCTCTGCCATGAGGGACCCAAACTGAATGCAGGGCTCAGGCATCTCTGTCTAGAGATGGAGTCACTGGGTATCATGGTCGAGAAGGGGTCACAGGTGTGCATCCAAGCTGAGACTGGAAAGTGGAGACTGCAGAGCTGGCAGGAGACAGTGGCCTATTCATTTCAGGACTTAAATTGAATAGAATTAAGAGCATTGAACCCCAGGCAGACACCATGAGGACGCAGTCGACTCCACTCATCCACCTCTCCAGATGTTAGTCTGGGTCCTCATCAGTGGCCGACTTGCTGCTTACGTTGCAAGGTTGGTGTCCTTGCTATTGGGTTTGCTTGCTGAGCTATGAGACTGAAGAATTTTTTAAACTATGATTTTCTTCATAAGTCAATTATATATTATAGCATATATCATCCATTTAATTTTCTTTCTCTTTCCCTAATGTCTGATGTATGTTGACTCTTAACCTCATGGGCAGCAGTGTTTTATAAAATATTTTAAACACAGCCTAACGTACTTACCTCCTTTTAGAAAGTCTTCATATCTCCCAACCCAACACATTGAAGATAAACACATTCTTTAGTGATATCATTATCCACTCAGTTCCTTCTGTAAAGCTTTTCTAATAGTCTGTTAAGATTGCATTTTACTTTGTGTTTAGTGAGAATGTTTTGCTTGACCCTCACATAAAAGTCTCAGCAAACCTCTTGTTCTCATGCCAGCATAGAAAACAGTCTGATTTTGTTGCTTTTCTGAGGGTAGTATCTCCCCCTTAGTATGCAGTCTTCTTAAAGCTGGTCTTGAGCTTGACAAGCCCAGGGCCTGAGCTGATCTGTGCACCATGGTGTTATTGTTCATAAAGTACGTGGTGCAGTTAGGAGCCAGAAAGGAAGAAAACGTTTTCCTCGACACTTGTAGGGTCTCTGTCCTGGGCTGAAAACTGAGTTGATCAACCCCTGTTAACAGGATAGAAGCTCACAAGTTTACACGGATTTGGTGGTATAGGGGAGTTTTGTAGGGAGATCAACTGAAGGAACAGATAGACCTGGAATGCTGAGTGTGCTCAATCCTGGGGGGTGTATAGTCAGAGTCTGAGGTAAGTGTAATATATTGGGGGATACTTAGCAAGGCCTGTTTGTTGGGATTCTTTCCTTTGTTTTGGAGATAAGGAGTTTTTTTCCTTCTGGGGATAGAGAGGTCCCCTCTCACATGGAGGCTTTTGACCCCTTTTCATGGAGGAAGGTGAGGTGGAGGTCTTTTTTCCTCAGACTCCTTCATTTAAAGTATTCACTCTGCCAGGTACCCTATCATGGGGGGTAGCATGTCCAAACCCCATCAGAGGTTAGTGTCATCACTTGTGCCCATTCTGTTTGGTGATTTTCAGTTAAGGGTAAAGGAAGCATCATTGGAGAGATCCTAAGGAGGCTTAGGTGTGCTTTTCACTGGACACTCTCAAGGTTTCCTGAAGCTTCATTATTTTTCATACTTAATCTTCTTCATTCTGAGAGTTGTGATTCTTCAGAGGCATGTGAGACGCAGGGGTCCAGTCACTTGTCAGGGCCATGTGCTGCTCTCCTTCCTTGGTGGAGCAGTGATCCTCATCACAGCTGGGCAGACTTGGGGTAGTTTCCCTCTGTTCCACAGCCCCTCCCTCTGTGTGCAGTCCCTCCTGTGTCATGAGGTCACAGCCCCTCTGATGGGGGAAAGAGAAAAACAGCCATGATGTTCCACTCCTTGGTAGATAGTGAAATCAGATTGCAGATGTACCTGACGAAAAATTCATTCCTTTGACAATTCTTGAGATTACATTCATTTAAAACTCTTTTCCCAGTGTACTATTTTAAAGAATTGTTTTTTAAAAGTCATCTGTTTCCTTGTTTATATTATAAAAACTATAAAAGTGCCATATACACCTCTTTATATGTTGGCAGCTTCAATTTTTGGGGTATATTTAAATTAATGGAAACTTACAAGGTTATATACTAATCTTACAGACTATATTTCAAGGAGATAAGCATATTTGAATTTGCAAACTTAGTCATAAAGGATTAAAATTGAATGTTAAGTTCTGTGAGGACAGAAATTTGTCTCTCTTGTTTTGCTACTTTGTCCTCAGTCCCTTGTGTACATTGCCTTGTACTGAAAAGGTGCTCAAGGGAATTAATAAACCTCATTTGTTTGACTTTTCTCCCTTATTGCAGTATTCTTTGCCTACTCTTCTCCCTCTATGCCACGAATGTAGTAGTTTTTCAAAATCTGTACTGAGCCTCCTTACTAATGTATCCTGAGTACGAGGTGATGGCTAGGAGGCCATCATTTGTTGATTATCAGATTAAATGAGTTTGAGATCAATTGGAGAAAGTGTTAAAAAGCAGTATGAAGATAATATTCTGAGGATCAAGACACCAAGTAAGAAAAGCAGGTTGTGCTGGTAATGGGGTGTGACTTTGAGCAAGTGATTCATTTTGCCCTGGTGCTTTGTTTTCCTCCTAATTACAAAGTAGTTGGCTTAGTTTTGGAATTGAGAATTCACATGTTGGTAGGGGCTGGCATGTGATACCAATGAGTGAAATGATCTGGGCTGGATGGTAAGTTTTTTTTTTGTAATCTTTAATGGGAACTTGTTATATTAAATGAATTTTACCAAAGACAAATACTTGCGCTGTCTTAGTGTAGTTGCTATACTTGGGGAATGCTTTAAAAAACACTGGTGCCCAGATTCTTTGCTCAGTGATGTATGTGCTTTGCCTAAGCTTCCAACTGCTTCTAATATGCAGTTAGGTTTGAAATGATTAATTGTCCTCTAACAAGGATGATTTCCACACTGATGTTTAGAAACAAACAAATGATCCAGGGAATAGTCAACTTTCAGATTAGTAAACACGCCCCCTTTTCCTGTAGTGAGCTCTGCCACGTCATTGGGAACATCACACAGTATTGGAGTCCACATCATCAGCACAGAGCCTGAACTGTATTCAGTACACCAAACACCCCCTACTATGTCTTAGTACCTGTGCTCCTGTTTTTACTCGTCCCTGAGTTCACTTTTCCTACCACATCGTGGTCATGAGAATGGTTTCTGGTACAGATGCTGCCATCACAGCTTTCTCTAGGGTTATGATCCAGGATATTCAAGCTTTTGTTATGGGCCATTTTTTCACTAGACATCCCTTTTAGGAAAGGATTTAGAGACTCCTATCCAAGGCCAGAAAGCATTCTCTTAAAATTTAGAGTGGTTTTCTGTAATACAAGCTGAAGAAAAGATCTTTTGTCTTTAATTTTTAAAGAAATTATTTATTTATGCTTACAGAACTGGGGTACAGGCCAGAGGTATGGTGGGTGAGAGGATTCACCAGAGACAGAATGGGGAGCACAACAGGCAGACTGACAAAGTACACTGCTGAGGGGAGCAGTGGGCGGTTCAAGAGAGGTCTGCCGCGCCATGTGGGTCAGCATCCTGGCCAGCGATCGAACTCGTGCTGCAGTGGCTTCTGGGAGCTTCATAATGCAGTGCTTTAGCCTGTTGCGCCACCAGGGAGGGCCCCTGTCTTTAATTTTAAATAAACAAGTTCCTGGGCCATTCTGTGCTCTTAAACTTGATTTACATTTGCATTTATGAATTAGGATTTTTTTTAAGTGGAAAGGTACCAGGTTGCAATAGTGTTTTCATTTATAAGTTTGGATGACTTAAAAATTCTGAGAAAAATAGCTCTTATTTTTATGTAACATTTTCTCACTTTTTTGGTAGGCCATGAGATAAAAAGATTTATCAGTTTATGGTTTGAGGCATTCTGTTTGCTGTTTGGATGATCTGGAAAGGTTCTGATTCATTCCTTAATTTATTCAATAGAATGGATCAAATAGTGATTGGGTTAATTAATAATTCTGCACAGATGATGAACATATTCTTCACAAAAATCATTTGAAAGCACATTGTGTTGTTTTTCACTGAGATTTTCAGGTCTGCTTTCATCAGAATCCTGATATTTTGGGAAGAAATTAATTTTGCCTTACTCAGTGTGGAATCACCCAGTGTATCCCTTTCTTTTGTGTGTTTTCCTCTCCATCAGTGTCTGCTTTCCCAGCCAAAATTCTGGGCCATTCAGACATCAGCTTTGATCCTCCGGACAAAACTTGAGAGAGGAAGCACACGACGCGTGGACCGGGCAATGAGGCAGACACAGGTAGGAAGCAGTGCAGCAATATTTGTTTATTTTTCAACTTTTCATTGCTTCCAATAAGCCTAAATGTATGTTATGTATGAATAGAATGAGATGGTTTTTATTTTACTTACTGATAACGTTTAGAATTGGACTTGTTTGACTTCAACTCCTTGCTTTGTCATTTAGTAGCTCTGTGACTACAGAGCTTTCTAGAGGAAGATTGTTCCTCTACTCACAATACTTCTGATACCAACAGTGCAGACTTTCAGGATTCAGTCACACATGACTACCCCCACTTCAGATGTCTGATGCAAGTCTGGGTACTTAATGACTCGTTGGCTAAACATCGGGAAGGGGTTGTTCTTGTAACCCCTCCTCAGGTTCAGTAACTTGCTAGAATGACTCAGACTTCAGGGATATACTTTATTTCATGATTTTGGCATATCATGAAGGATGCTATAATGACTACCAGTGAACAGCCAGGCGAGGAGTGTGGAAGGTGAAGTCTAGAAGGGTACTGAGTACCGTTGCTTTTGTCTTTGCGGGTCCTGGGGTATGTCACTTCAGGGTGTGTTCACTACCCTAGAAGCTCTGTTTTCAGGGTTTTTATGGAAATCCATCATGTAGAAACAGTTGATTTCAATCACTGGCAGTAGTGATTAGCTTAGTTATCTCCCCTTTCCTCCCCACTTTCTTCAGTTTGGGTTGGGGCTGAAAGTTCTAACCCTCTAATCACCTGGATGAGTCTGCTGACATTAAATCATCATGTTCCTAGAGTCACCTCAGAAGTATAAACTCGGGTAAGCTGAAAGGGAGAGGACCTTTTTATGAGTAACAGAAGACTCTTCTCTAACCCCTACCACACAGGAAGTTTTAGAAGCTGTATGCCAGGAACCTGGATAAAGATCACGTATATATCTCTCATAATATCACATTTCTTTTCTTTTTTTTAAAAAGATTTTATTTATATAACACAGAACTGGGGTACAGGCCAGAGGTATGGGGGTGAGAGGATTCATTAGAGACAGAGCGGGGAGCAGAATAGGCAGATTAACTGAAATACACTGCTGAGGGGAGCAGCAGGCGGGTCAGGAGAGGTCTGCCACGCCGTGGGTCAGTTCCCTGGCTTGTGCTCCAGTGGCTTTGGACAGCTTCATTGTGCTGCACTTTAACTTGCTGCACCACCAGGGAGGGCCAACATCCCATTTCTAAGCCTTGTTTTTATAATCTATAAAAGGTGGAACTGACCACATGTAAAAAAATCTGCATTCAGGCATCATTCTCCATTTAATGCTAGTTATTTCTATCCAACAACTCTATAATCTATCACACGTAGTCTGATAAACCACCAACAATAAAATTGCCAAAAAAGTGAAAAATCTTGCCAAAGACACACACTTTCATCGACTTTCTGAAATCCTCTTTCTTTCTTTCTTTTTTTTTTTAATTTATGTATACAGAACTGGGGTACAGGCCCGTGGTGCAGGGGCAATGAGCAGATCCACCAGAGACAGAATGGGGAGAACAACAGACCAACTAATGAAATATACTGCTGAGGGGAGCAGTGGGCGCACCATGCATGTGGGTCCCTTCCGTGGCCAGGGTTTGAACTTGTGCTGAAGCAGCTGCGACTAGCTTCAGAGCACTGTGCTGTCCTGTGCTTTCAACCTGTTGTGCCATCAGGGAGGGCCCCTATATATATTTTTAAAGTTTTTATTTCACAACAGTTGATCACGATGGTTTTGAAGTTGCTGGCTGTCTTGGAGACTGTCCTTCAATTTGGGCTTGTTTCATGTGTCCTGGTTAGATTAGGTTGTATGTTTTGAATGTAATGCTACAGAAATGTTGCTTCTCACTGCATCCCCTTCAGGTGCCAAATGATCCAGTGTGTCCCATCACTGGTGATGTTATCTGTTCAGTGGAGTAAGGCCATGCTTCTGGGATTTCTCTGCAGTGGAAAATCACTCTTTCCTTGTTGTAACTAAACAAGAATTTTGGGGGAGTTGCTTTGCGATTGTTCTGTCATCCAACTTTCTCCTTTTGCTTTTAGCATTTATTGATGTTTCCTGCCTACGGAAAAGGGGTGATGTCATGGGGGTGGTGAATAATCATGGAAAACAAGGATGGAGAAACTGTCATAGACCAGAGACGTAAAGGACGGGCAATTGACTAGATGCAGTGTCCCATCCTGGATTAGATTTTGGGATAGAAAAAGGGCAACACTGGAGAGCTGACGAAATAGAAATAAAGCCGTATTTTGATGAGTAGTAAAGTACTAATGTTAATTTCTTAGATTTGAAAATGTATTAAACTTAGGTAACACAGCTGAAATTATAAAAATTGGATGAAGAGTATAAGCTGGTTTGGGCAGTGCTAACCGAGTTAAGTCAGAAGGAGAAAGTCAAATGCTAGTTGGTGTTGCTTGTATGCGAAATATAGAGGGAAAAACCCAAGGGTCAGGTAAAATGAAAGCAATAACAAGCTCTAAAACTCTAACTGTAGAATTAAGGCTACAAAATGGAGGGAGAATAAAATGGGGAGGGGGTTACAAGGGACCATGGTAGAGGATTTTCCATACCTTGGTGGTGGCTGTGGGATGGTAACATACACCTGAAGGGTGCGATCCTATACTCTAAACCTTGGACGCCATTGTAAAATAACGTTACCTCAATCAAATAAATTAAAAACTGAAGAAGAAAAGACATATAATATTCAAAAAGCTTTTATTATGGGAGATGAGCAGTAAACAAATTTAGAATGTTTAGAAAAAAATAAGTAAAACAGCATTTCATACTAAAATGGCAACATGTTGAAATGAACAAAATGTTGAAATGATCATTACGTATATTTTATTAAAATAAGGATATAGTTTCTTGTTCAAGGAAACAGTTCTTTTTTGGTTAAAGGTTTGACTTTTTAGTGCAAATAGTACTGGAAAATATTTATTAGTGAAAGACATGTTGACATGGAAAGGATTTGCTTCCTGTTTATCTCCTCAATTAGCTTTAGCATATAAGAGAACTAAGTTGTCATTCATTTTTCTTTTGTGGGGCTAATTCTTAAAAGTTTAAAGGCAAATTGGTTTGTAAGTGTATGTCTTTTCATCTTGAATGTGGCACTGTTTTCTTCATTTTGCAGATTATGTCTTTGCTAATGAACTAGGGTCGTCTTTTGACTGGGGAAAATTAACTTTAAAGGAGAGGTCAGTCTTTATGCTCTACTTTATTTGCCTTAATTTATTTGGAGTCTCCATCTTGCCATCCAAATGTTACATCACAAAGATAGTTGTATGCCTCTCCACCGGGAGAGGGAATTATTATATCTGCATCTATAGAAAAATTATTTTCACTCCTCTGACCCAGGAAATTTGGAAATTAGCCAGATCATGTGATAAGATGAATGCAGAATTCATTTAGTTTCTGTCACTTGTTGAACCATTTACCTCATAATCTGATTTCTTGCCAGTTTCTCTGATTCAGAGTTTGACAATTTTGTGTTTGTTGAAGTTTATTGCATCTCTGAAGAAGAGGAAATGATTTTAAAATTATAGCTGTATATATAAGACAATGTTTTTTAAAATTTTGTTTTAGTTACTGTGAAAACCTATTCCTTGTGATGGTTGTATAAAGTGATAAAATGGTAAGGTGTAACAACCGAAAGGAAAATGAATAGGAAGAAACTCTTTTAGGAAAGCTTGGTCTATCATATTACTTGTTGAGGAGTTGCAGGTGTGATGAGGGTGGTGACTTGCCCCAGTTTTCTCGGCCATTTAATGACAGATTGTGGATGGTAACTTAACACAGTGATAGGTATTTACATTGAAAGAGCCAATGGCAGGTCCTAAAGATGGTTGATTTGGAAGGGATTTTTAGTGCAACTTTCCAAACCTAAAACGTTGCTTCACACCTGAAGGTAAATAAATTAATGTTGTAAGACCCCAGAGGAAGAAAGAATTAAAAGTTGAGAACAGCCCTTTGAAAATACCTTTTCTTACGGAAATTCTCCAGACTGATTCTTTAATTATTGCATATTCAGGGCTATAATGGTAGTGGTGGTGATGAAGAAAGTAATGTTTATGGAAACATTATTTTAATGGTTATGATCAGAACGTTTGAATTAAATGATGATATTCCTCAGTATTTATTTGTTTCCTGTTTTTAGCAAAGTAGTAAAGAATGCTTACTACATATATTTTCTAGTCACTCAAATTCCCCTTTCCCTTCTTACCCAAATAGTCAACATTTTCTTCATCATATGATTATATCTTTTTCTCCTTTTTTTAAGTCATTATATGTATAATCCAAATATGAAGCAAATTAATTCCAACTACATAAATTCAAAGAGACCATCTTGTGATCAAACAAACAAAAAAAAAATTGTGCAAACTAAATGTTGCCAGCCTCTGTCTTTCATGTTAACTGTGCTAACCTATGTTAGATAAACTAGCTCAGTCACTGAGGGTTAATGTTAAAATATTTAGTGCTTATTAAGATTATCTTATTATTGTATTTTATTCACTCAGTTATTTTGTAAGGCTGTAAATTTATATTTTGAATGTCTGCCTCTAACCTTGAAGTTGTGCCTCTGAAGATGGTCATTCAGTGGAAATCTTTTATCCTTGAGTTTCTGGGAGAAATTGCTTTGAGAGCCGGGAATTTGAGATAATAGCAACTTTCTATCAGTGGGCCTATTCAAATTGCAATTTGAATTTCCTAACTGTGGTAGCTAATTGAGATTTCACAATTTTCAGATGAGTTGTTTTTTTTTTTTTTTTAAGATTTATTTATTTATTCATACAGAAGTAGGGTACAAGCCAGAGGTACCGGGGACGTGAGAGGATTCACCAGAGACAGAGTGGGGAGCAGAACAGGCAGATCAATGAAGTACACTGCTGAGGGGAGCAGCAGGCCGGTCAGGAGAGGTCTGACGCCATGTGGGTCACCTCCTGGGCGGGTATTGAACTCATGCTGAAGTGACTTTAGCTTCTTAGTGCTGTGCTTTAACCCGTCATGCCACCAGGG